CAATTTCTTCTGACCATAGTGAAATTTGGAAACCGTTTTACAAAATCCTTTTCTAAAGGCAAAAAAAGCAGTGGAAATGAAGGGATATTGTTAAGAATAGAAAACTTTGAGTATATGCACATATTTAACATACTTGATAGTGTCTTCTCCAAGACAAGTTTTCCAGAGAACCTGTCTATTGAGCAGAAAAAGGCCACAGTAAAATAATAAGTCCAGCACACAGCTGAACATTTTCCTCACAAATTAATTGCGAATGAAAACACAAAACATATCTGACTTTTCAGTGCTAGAAGAGGGTAACTGCAGCTAAATATTCACCAGAGGAGGCGAAATTATTTTATAGGATAAAAATATTGTAACACGATAATAACAAAACAAGCACTTTGACGCTGTATAAAAAACACCACTGTGCCTTTGTCGCTAAAGACAAGAAATCAAGGATGGTAGCATCCTTCATTCTTCTCTATGCAATTAGAAAACAGAATGAAGGATGCCTTATCAAAAATAAAACATGCAACAAAATCAGCAGTAAATACTGCAAAGTGCAAACAAAGCACTGAAACCTCATGAGATCCATGATCATGTCAGCCTAGTGTAGGAACAGATTTATTTGAATCAAACTGGAAGGATTACCTCTTGTAATGATTATTTCTTGAGTATTTTTTAAATTGAGCTGTTGAACAGCCCATTGATGCAACAATGTAATGACACATTGAAAATCACAGTTTGCTCATCACAGGATTCCAGATGAGTTAATAGCAGATAATTGCACACATTTTGCAAGCACGTCATTTCAACAGTTCTCTTTGATATTTCAATTTAAGTGCACCTTGTAAACTCTGGCTATGTACAGCCAAGTGTACCAGAAAAAGACTTTTCCCAAAGAGAAATGAACTTAAAACAACAAGATAAAAACAAGCCAAAACTCAACAATCCAATCAAAAAGCCTACATTTTCTAGGTTAGAACATTTTGATCACAGAGGCATAAATATTGGTGTCAAAACAAGTTCTCTGAATAAAAGGTTTTCGAACCTAAGTCAGCTTCAAAAGAAAATATACATAAACTGGGAGCAAGCAAACATGGGGACAAAAATGCCATAAGTTCTCTGCATTAGCAGCAGAACTACTGCCAGGAGTTACATCACCAGCACCAAGACCATATGCCATCACTGTTTGTGATACTGGTGAAATGAAAGCCTTTAGAAAGCACCCAGCTGGATAATACCACTCTGCTTTTTGAGGTAACACAGATGCTGCTTTCTATGTCTCACTAACTTTGGCTCCTGGATGGAACGGAGAAAACAATTTTGAGGCATAATGCATTGTGTCCTAAATTAAACACATAAAACAAGTTTACCTTCAGTTGGGTAAAGCTCACTCAAACTCACCAGCCATGCCATAAAACAAAGGAACACACAAACACTGCACACGCTGCATCAGAATGCAAATTTGCTTCAACAACTGCATTTGCCACAGGAAAATGAATTGTTTGGGGAAAGAAAGAGACCAGATGATTTGAACAGCAGTTGCTGACAGTTGTCCTAAGTTCCACCTGAGACATTTCTATTCATGTGTGTGTTATGAATAAGTGTCACAAGTTGGTAATGTCTTCATTTCAGCTGGTTTCATTACCTGTATTTCATTTCCAGAAGAGTGGTGATACAGATCTCATGGTATCCACTGCAATTATAAAATTGATTTCTGCCCTCTGTAGATCCACAGAGAGGCTGAACAATCCTCCAAGAAGCACTGCATCTGAGCTTCTGCCCTGATGCCAGTGTTCCCAGCTTTATGTCTTTTTGGCTGGTGTAAGAAGTGGGGTAATCATCAGAGCCCCAGGTTGTCTGCTTAACGCGGTGCTGCCGAGTGTGTGACACGTGCTGCCGAGCGTCGGCGTGGCTGTGGATTTGCAGCACATTCTTAGCCCTTTCCCTGCTGAAAGCAAATAGCAATTTGGAGGAGGAATGTTCCCACTAGGCTTAGCACAATGCTCCGAGCCTCCCTATGCTGCAGAAGACCACCTGATCTGGAAGTCTTACATGCATTTAGCCATTCGAAATTTGGCTTGCATTTTTGTGCTACCAATAAACTCACTAGAAAACTACCAAAATAAAGAACTGAAGAAGCTAGTCTGTTTTTTTCAAATATAGGTATTAGGACCTTTATATCACACTATTAAGGATTTTTCCATTAGGTTAAAAATATTTTAAGCTTTGTGCATGAGTCTTTGAACTGCTGCTATTCTGGAGGTATCTGAAGGGAAACTAGCAAGAACAATATTGACTTGGAAACTTTTATCGAGTTTCCAAGTTTCTGAGAGCATATTTAATTTCAGAAACCCATGAGAGAGTTCAAAAAAATCTCAGAATTCTAATATCAGGAGAAATTCTGAAAGCAAAATATTGCTGATCTCTGAATTGTTTTAAAACTAATATCTGAAATGCCTCTAAATTAGGAATCTATTTTTCACACAACTCTTGCTATTGAAAGTTTTGGAAGCTGAATATGGTTCTCTTGATATATGTATGTGTATGGAGCTGGGGGTTCATCTCAGAATCTGATAATTATGAGTCCTGGATGTAATCCACACCTGAGCACAGTGTTGAGTGTAAATCTATGTTAAATGCTGAAGAAGCAAATTCTGGGTTTTCATTCCAGGACAAAGAACATTATTCTGTAAATTCTTGTGCAAGATCTCTCTGCATAAGTAAAATATTAGGAGTGTGCAACACCTTCAGTGACTTAATTCACAATCTACACTAATGACATGGATTGTGTGACATTCATGGGTTCTAGGTAGTTATTGAAAATGCTTAAATCCTCTAATTTTTTAACAAATGAATGTCATACATGACCTAAGATTGACTTTAATGGATAGTACACACCATTTCTGAGCATAAGAACATATGAGATTCCAGGTTCACAAACTGCTAGTTGAAAATAATTACTTGGACTGTAAAATCAAACATGTATAACTAAAATATCAGCCTTTGGTTGTATGTGCTAACCTTCTACCCTCTGAACAGTCCACCCTGAATACTGACTTTAACAGCATCATTTGGAAAAGGTAGTATGATCATAGATAACACATATTTGCACCAGAATACCTTCATGTAAAAGAGGCTAAATTAGGGTTCAGAGGCGTTTCTTAACTCTCACGTACTAGCTCTTGCAACTGCAGGAAACTTAATTTAAAGATAACTCTGCTGGGAGTTATTTTACACTCCTTCTTATTTCTGGCATTGGCAGTTACACATGCATCTTGAACCTGCTGCAGTGCAGTGCAGGATGCTATTGCTAGGATTGTTGAGATATTTAAGTGTACAGATGCACATTAGCTGAGAAAGAGGTGTGTGTCTTTATGTGCATGTGTGAATGAGGAAAACGTCTTGAGTCTACAGTGTCAAGAAGTCTGTACTGTTACCCCTTAAGCTAAGTATTTTAGGGATAGTTCAGGATGGAAACTGCTCAGTTGGGAATTTTTTGTAATGTAAGACCACAGACTCAACCTCTTCTTCACCTACCTTTCCATTTTCTTGTCTTCAGCTGGTTCAATCTGTGTCTCTTGGTGTTGGCAGTGTCAGTGTAATCTTGGCCTGCAGCCTGGAGTCTACTAATGTTTTCCCAAGAGATAAAAATAAGAGAAGGGTAATGACAATTTCTGTCACTTTGCATCCTAAATGAAATTTTATGGGACAAAGAGAAAAGATTCTGTGGCCCAAAGGGATTTCTTCTGCTGAATACCAAACACCTTCTACAAACAACAGAAATGTGAGAGATTCTCAAAATAAAAGGTCACAGGGATTTTCTATAATAGAAAGGCTTTAACAACAGGGTGTTGTTACCAGCTGCCCTTCCAGTGAATCAGGGAAAATCTTGGTGAAGGACTTCCTCAATATGTTCTTCTGCAATTGAAGGAGCTACTAATTTGAGGGATAGTCACTGGAGTTGTCAGAATTTGAGTCAGGGACCATCATGTACATTTAGTAGGAGCCCTGAACACAGGGAAGGGAAATAAAAAAGGATTCACAGCAGAAAGGGAGATGACCATTCTACTTGGACAGCTTGGTCACAGCATGTCCAGGGTTGTTCTGCTAAGGTAACATCCATGTGAGGGACAGAGGAACAGCATTTGTTTGATTACTGGGAAGAACCCAACTTCCTCATGAGAAGGGCAGGAGAGGAATACAGCTGGCTAATGATTTCAGACTGCTTGAGTCAGTGAGTGGCCTGGCAGCTGTAGAGAAAAGCAATTCTTTCTCTGCCCACCCACCACTTGAAGTCATGGTATAAAAAATTATTTATGACAAAATTTGGCTTAGAACACAAACAAGGATGAGCAAGACAGGTCAACAGACAATGTGGCCATCCTTGCACCTCACTAGGTATCCACAGAAATGAGAGCTGCTTCTTTCTGTGGTTGAGAAGAAACAAGACCCACAGTTCAATCAGGGCTACCACCCACTCCAGAAGTTTTTGTGCCTTGAGGGGTTACTGGCACACACAGATTTAGAATAATATCAAGTCATTTCAGCATGTGGAGAACATGCTGAGTTCTCCACATTCCCTTCTGTCCTTTCTTGACTATCCCTGGCTTCTAGCTATCATCCACGTCTGGCCATCACCACTGTCTTCCCCCACCCGCTCCTCTCCCTTGGCCTCACAAGCTCCATTTCTTCACTCTGGTTGTAATTGCTTTATTTCTTTTCTGATCTCAGCACGGAAAAGCATAGGAAGAGGGACAGCATTTGAGCCCCATCCATTTTCAGAACAAATAATCTGACTTTGAGATATGAAGAACCTGGAGTGAAGGGCCCCTCTCCCCCACAGAGGGTCAGGGGCAGGGGATGTGACACATGTGTCTGTGTTTAGGACATATCATGAACACAGGGAAGCCTGTTGGTGAGTCCAATAATATTAAAATAACATGATAACTAATAGGGATTTTGAATATTCAGTGGTATAAGAATAACCTTGCCTTTTATGTGTCCTTCCATAGATAAAAAGAAGCAAAATTATTGGGATGCCTAGGATTTCAGAATATTACTTCATAATAAGCATAAAAAACATCTTAAAGTACACATTATGGGTCCAGAAGAACACATCTTTCAGTCTTCAAGAAGTATTTAAACTACTCTGGCAGATGAAGGTAAGAAAACATTAATTTCAGCTAGTCTTTCTTTGATACGTGCCAATGAGTACAGAAATGCGAAAATGAAACAACTTAAGACTGTGTAGTTCAAATTACATATGAAAATCATCCATTCAAAGTGTGGATTTAATCATTTTTGTCTTAGTCAGCTCGTTCTTTCAATCACCCATTTCCCATTCCAGGTTACAATACTTGCACTGTAGTGTAGATTACTATAATTAACAGGTTAAATGCATGAAAACAGTTTTTTCCCCTTGATGTGCCTTTGGATCCTTTATTTTTGCTAGCAGTTATACTGTAGAGTCACTTCCTATGACGGAGAAACAACTACCATGGGGTTTCTTAATGCTGCTTATGTTCTTTTCTTTCCCTCCAGTAATAACAGTAAGAAATTATTGTCTGTAAATAAAAGAATATAATGGAGAGCATATATCAGGAGAAGTATGTTAAAAGCTGCATGTATAACATCTGTAGGTACAGACCGCTTATATTGATGGAGTAGCCAATGCTGGCTTTTATTAAGATGCAATGAGAACCTTTCTAATCTCATTGTATAGAGCAGTCCTTTTCTGATCCAAACTAACCCCTTCAGTTAGCATGCAATTTAATTCTACAGAATAAGAAAGAAAATAGTCTTTTGTGCTGTGATATTTACAGCAAATATCAACATTGTTCTTACTTTGTTTTCCCCACCAACAATGCTGTGTGGCATATCCGTAGATTTATTTATTTTTTAATCATATGTCCTGCTGGTTATAACATAACTTAATGTACCAGCTGCAATTAACAGACTGTCAAAGGATCAACTAACAAGTGCTGATAAGCTTCATTTAACTAATTTGAGGAGTGGAAGTTTGATTTTCTTTTTTTTTTCCAGGAAGGTAGCTTGTTTCCTTATTTCCTGTCAAGTGAGCCAACTCCTGTGACCTGTAGTTAAAAGGGCCCTTTGTAATTAAGGCAGTGAGCCTCCAAGTGAACAGTTCTCACAGTAGGAGGGGGAGCAGGGGGAAGAAGAAGAAGAAAAAAGCAACAAGAAAAAAAAAGAGGATGCATGACACTGCTTAACTAACTAATCGGAGCTGAGCCAATCCATTTTCCTGCAGGCCACTCAGTGCTCCATGCGCACGCAGAATCTCGCCCTTCATTGGCTTCATGTCCATTTTATGGACCAGCGAGTCTATTAAGATCTTGGTGAGTGGCCCTATCCGAGGGCAGGGCTCTCTCTCCGCCTACCCATAGACTACCAGAAACTGATCAGCCGTGTTATATCAATAACGTTCTCACACCAGGTTGTGTAAATTGATCTTTTACAATTTCTCTCGGTGACAGTCTCTGTAACCAACAAGATAAATCATTCCTCCTGTGGCTTTTTTATTGATTGCTGAGACCTGTATAAAAATTACACTGCTCAAGCTGTGAAGTGAACATCCTCATAAAAGAAGACCTTCTGTTTACAACCAAATACGTTTGGTCCAGATCAAGCACAGATAGTAAATACCATCCCAATACTACAAGAGACCAGAATTAACTGAGATTCAAAGCACCAACAAAGTAACCTGCGTAAACTTTTAAATGCAAATGGTACACAACAACACCAAGAAAGAAAAAAGCAAACAAAAAAACCTCAAACTTGCAGGGTTATAAAGTCTTTCTGGAGTAAAGGCAGTTGTAATAGCCAAACATCTGTTAAAAACAATGATGCAGAAGAAGCACAGCAACACAAACAGCCAGCTTTTTTTTTTTTGCTTTTTTTTTGCAATAGCTTGTACAAACACTAACACAAATTGCTTTTTGATATGCTTTTAGCATCTATTCAAATATATATTTTTTTTAATGGAATGGTAATATTTGAAGGCTCCTTACCTTTTCAGAAAAGAAATGATCTTCAACTTTGGAAGATCTGGCAGCTGTAATATCATTCTAGGGAAATTGATTTAAGCTGCTGTATAGTATTGGCTTTACTGTTTTATTAAAGTAAATAGTCTAATGATGTCTAATATAAGCAATCAAATGTATTTACAGATTTTAGGCAGCATCAACTCTATAATGATTATATTCCTTTTACTTTATTCCATCATTTAAATTCTGTTAAAAATAGTCTCTAATTTCTGTTGCTTTAATTATTTAAAACTTATGCTAATATTGTTTAGAGACAGTTTACAAGAGTGTCTTTTGAAACAGGTGGACTTAAATGGAGCAAAACTGCTAAATGTTAAATCATCAAGCATGATGAAAGAATTAGCAAGTGATTCAGAGGGCTGAATACCAGATATGAAATACAAATTTCATTGTCTTACTGACTCATTCTGTACTTTTTGGACAGGACATTTGTGAGCCAATACTTCAATTTACCCACCTGTAAAAAGTTATTACAGTGCCTAGAGGAAATGTGTCATTTCTGTATCATGCTAAGTGAAATCAGTAGAGATACACCCAAGCCAGCCTTGTTCACTGGCAAATTGTGAAGTTTAATTTAGTGTTTGCAAAGTACTCTGAAACACTTGATGATGAGACCTTCAAAAATGCAAGCTCTTGTTATTATGATTCTCTGACACAGAAAAATGAAGGATGCATTCAAGTATTTCATGTTATCAGAAAACTGTGCAGCCATGATTAGTGCTACCAAGAAGAAAGCTGTACCAAGTAGTCTCTCAAAATTAAGGATGTTGTTAAAAACATAGTATCCATGAGGTCCAAAAAGTTATTCTTTTTTTCTGTTGAAATCAAAATCTGTGATTGATCTAAATACCTGTATACTGGAGAAAAGATAGAAATTTTTTTTCTTTTTTTTAGATTGTGCACAGGTAACTAGACATTACATGTTTAGAACTGCTAAATACTCAACAGCGCTAAATTATTTTAAATGGCAAAACCATATACTATTTTTGCTGTTTAGAAATTGGTTGGTCAGAGCAACTTCAGAAAAAAAAACGGGCATCAATCTGAAAATTCAGAGTATGAAAATTATTAACTTTTTGTTCGCATTATAAAACTCTCCATAAATGACAGAAGCACTTCTGTATTTGCTCACTGAGTAAGGTGATTTCCTCACCTAAATGCAAAGAAAGAAGGGAAGGAGTTTGTTGAACAAGGGGGGGGGTGTAATAAATATGCTTGAGACTGCACTCTTCTTAGGGAGCTGGATTCAGAATAAATTTTGCTGGTATTGTCCATTCACTTTTCTATTCTTCTTCAAAAAATATTTTCAAAGGGCGAGAATTAAAATACTGTTTATTAGAAAAACTTGACTGAGAGAAACCAGTTCAAGGCTCAGAATCCAGACAAAGGGCCAGTGCAAACAAACTATTGTATGAGGACAGTGACAGTAGTAAAATACAAAAGTTATGTTTAAAGAACATATTTTCTCTGTATTTTGGAATACTTTGGCAAAGTATGTGAATTATCCAAACCAGATTCAACTGATTCATCCTTTCATTATTAGCTTTATTGATATGCTTCCCCTTGCATTTTAGTGGTGAACTGATGATGACAATACCAGTATTCTGAGGCATTGAGGGGTTTAGTTTGTTTCCTTTAGGCAAGAATGCAAAATAACTAGAGCTAATTTCTAGCAACATCCTCTTGATTTCTCTTAATCCTGGACTGTGATGACTCTTCAAGCATCTCATTGGAAGCAATTGTGGGAAAAAGGCCATTCCCTTTTCAGCTGTTCTTCCAAACTCTAATGAGTTAACAATTGAAATACAGAAAGTTGCTTCAGAGGTCAGGAGAGTATATTCTACACAATGGTCACAGCATTTGAAGCCATGACAGCACTATAAATTGACAAACTAAAGCAGAGCACTTGGTGGTCTGAAGTGGAGAAAAGAACATCAGCCAAGAGCAGTAAAAAGACGAGCCATGAAACCACACAGAAAAAAATGAGTGATTTTTTCAGATCACCTTGTTAGAATTTAGTGTATCAGAGGTCAGATGAGTAGAACAATAATAAGGTCCAAGGTTGAATACCAGTGGGGAAGCTTAACCCAGGAGCTCCAGGTCAACCATAAGTGAATGAGGTAGAACAGTGAAGCAGTAGTCACCCGGGAAGGGAACGCACAAAAGTCAGCGGGTTAAGGGGAGGAGCCCGACAGTTATCAATTAGACTAAGAGAAAGCCTGGGCTCGAGCACCTGGGATAGAAAAATAATCCCAGCGTGATGAAAGGAGATTTTCTCCTGTGCACCGTTCTGGTTCCTTAGTTTTCAGGTTTTGAGAAATTTGAAATGTGTAAAGATCTTAAATCTGTAACAGATGAAAAAACACTGGCCAGTTGGATGCATGTTTTATGTGCATATGACAATGTTTTCCTCCCACGCTGGACAGTCTGCTGAGATACAGGCATAAAAGTAAATTTCTTTTAAAAATATGAGCAAACATACATACACAAGCAAATACGGGCATGCACACATATACACCACTGTGAAGGGGGTGTTTTTCAACTTCTTATTTTGTCTTCAGAAAAGTATAATTCACACCAATTTTATTTTTAACTTATGAGGAGGAATTTCTTCAGATTTGTGAAGAAAATTGCTTCAAGTGATAAGTATGGAATATTTAAGTGACATTTTACAATGTAATATATATATATATATATATATGGTTATGCAACTTCCTCTTCCGATGAGCATGCATCACCTAATTTAGCAGGAATTTTGCCATTGATTTCATTGGAGCTAGAAAAGGCCCACAATAAAGCAGATCATGTCCGATATACCATAGCTCAGAGTACATTGAAAATATCCAAGTAGAGCTAGCCATAACTATCCACTAATATAAACACGTTTTTACTGTTATGCAGATTTACATTTATGATTGTTATAAGATATTAACAACTGTTGTATTACCTTTGTATATGTTTGTGTGAGTGGGGTGGGAGTGCGGGACTAGTGTGTGCACGTGTCTATACAGCAGAAGTTTTTTTGTGATGTCTACACTATGTACTTGAAATATTATTCAGTCTTCATGAGCAATCTGTGGTAAAAGGGCAAGGATGTA